CATGATGATGAAGAATACGTGGTTCGCATCGACGTGGTGCAGCACAAGTCAGGAACAAAACTTTTCAGCAGTTGCGGGTACATGCTCCGGCTTGGACCAGACAGCCGACGTGAATAGTCTGCGTGCTTCATCGTGCGCAGCTGAAATGCTGCTTGTGTCCTTAGCCAAGCCTCCGTGCGATCGCCAATGTCAAGTGGATAGCGGAGGCTGTGAAGCCCCAGGGAGTGGGGTGGCCAAATAAGTGCCATCATGGCAGGAATGATCGTGCCAAACTTTGAGCGTGACCGCGCATCACTGACAATCATGAATGCCAGTCAGTAGCAATGAGGATGGTCTGGACAACAGAGGAAGGTGCGTCCATTAGCCTGTGTCACACTCATAAGCAATCCGCGCGCATACAGCCAGCCACATGAACTTCCAATCCACCTTGTATGCGTCAGCGTAACTATGACATTTTTACGCTTTCATCGCTCATAAGCAGAGCAGGGCGCGAGTTCGAGACTCAGCAGCCCATGCTCCAAAGCTAAGCGACATTGGGAAATATTTTGCATCTTTCGCACACCTAGCACGCCGGCCCATGGCCCATCACCACCTACTCACGTTCTTTGAAAAGATCATCAACGCCCTGTCGTGCAACGTACTACAAGGTCCGTGCCTCTCTTTGTTTCTCCACGTCCAAATTAGCTGCTAATCTAGCCAGCGCACCTCCCACCAACCCGCTGCCTCCTCCACTACTAGCAGCCGCCGCAGCATCTCCAGCTCCAGCAGCTGCCGTTCTCCTCTCAAAGTTCTCGATAAAGGTATTGAGCATCTCTGAAGCGTCGTCGAGCGACTCGGAACGTTCTTCTACGATTCGTAGACGTAGAGGAGGATCGAGCGGTAGATCCATGATGCGAGGAAAGCAACGCTGGACGAGGAAGCTCGTGTGCGCAGTTGAAGGACGAGCAAACTTGGAACGCGATTCGCCTGAAGTGATGCTCGGTCTCACGCTATCGCAAGGAGCCGCGAGCTGACGAAGAGCGAGGTGGGATGGGGAGAGTGAAAGAGCCGACAGACGCGCTTGATGAGAGGTGGAAGCAGACGCATAGAGCACGGTAAGCTCCTTATTCCTGCACACGCAGACAATTTTTGTGGCACGTGGTGTGGTGCTGGGCTTAGACGCGCGCGCGCATCCTGACTCAAGACGTGGCCACCGCGGCGGTCACGCGTCACGAATGGTGAATCTTACCCACCTCACTCAGACTCGTATGTTTCGATAGCTCCGACAATCGATGTTTGTGTTCAAGAAAGTCACCCATGTGCAGGTCAAAAGCAGCGATCTGGACCGAGATGACTCGCTCATTCCATCTTGCTTGACTGACGCGAGATACAGCAACCGCGCAACCGTACTCATGCTCAAATCTGCGCGAAGGGTTGGAAGATGACATTGAATCACAGGCACCGAGGCCAAGAAGAGTGGCGGACGGCCAATCAAGGCGTCAACGCCTTGCGAACAAGCGATTGCGATCAGCAAAAGAGAGAGAGAGAGAGAGAGAGAGAGAGAGAGAGAGAGAGAGAG